GACGCAATGACCTCAGAAGGGAAAGCACTTGAAGGTCAGCCAGGGTCCTGCCTTCTGGGAGCTCTTGTGGGTGGGAGCTGCAGACCTTCTTCTTTCTTCCCAACTGAAAACAGAGCAGAATTCTCAGAAAAGGGGCTGTTAGTCTCTAATGAGCTTGTCCTAGTTGGCAGCACTGGGGTCTCACTGGGGGGGTGGGGCTGGACAAGCAGTGCGTGCCCCCTGCCACCAGGAAGGAGACAGAGCAACTCTCTTCTCCTGCTTTTGCTCTTGCCCCTGCAAGACACACAGCCACAGAGCACTGCTCTGAAATGATGTCACTCATTACAGAACCCGGATACTCTGTGCTGTTTGGATTTTGTGCATCCCAGCACTGCCCTTGTCCCCAAACCTGCTCCAGGTGAACCTGAAAGGAAGCAGGATCAGTGTGACAAGGAGTAAGCTCCTGGCATTAACCTCGATATTTAGGCTTCTCTCCTTTGTAATCTGGGTCCCATGAGTTGCAGCAGAGGTGACATGTAAGCACCCAGAAAAACCACTGGAGTCCAGTGACAACTCAAGGTGTTGATGTGCTGTAGATGGCTGGTTATGGAGGCAGGAGGGGGTGGCCTGGGAACTCCAAAGTATGGTCAAGGTGTCCCCATGGGGCTTATTAGAACCTGGCTGAGGGACGGTTTTCCAGGGCACAAAGCAGTAGAGGTATCCTCTAATCTCTACCCTGAGAAGGGGAGATTTGGAGTCCAGCCCCTCCAGGGAGGGGAGGAAAGGACCCTCTCCAAGATGGCTTCCCTCAAAGCTTCATGCCTCTTCTGGGACCCAGAGAGGATTTGCTCTGTACAACTTTGTCATATTTATTTGTACTCTGCTGCACTCTCATACTGAATGTAATGAAGTCAAAATGTTATTCTGGAAATCTCATATCAATAAAGCATGCAGTTTACAACTATTTCATTCCTTACTGTGTGATTCCTGACTTTCTGGGATCACAACCTGACCTTGGGAAAACTGAGCAGTTAATCAAGTTTTGGGAACATGTCCACCTGTGCTCTAACTCTACATTTCCACGCTGATGAGAAACACATTCAGAAACACCAAAAATGGCTTCTGGTCATATGAGAAGCCTGGTACATACTGGGCAATCCATAAATATTGGCGCTAATCTTCTTCCCTGTTTGTTTGATGGTACAGGTGATCTTCAGAATATCTGAGAACTGACACACAGGTGACAAAACTAGTCGCCAACTGATCCTGTGAAAACAGTAGTTTAAGACAAAGTTTTTCAAGTTGGTCATCATCTGACCATCAATTATATAAAAAAATTAGAATACAATAAATAATAAAATATTAACGCTTATGATACCAAACGAACTATAACCTTGGAAAATGAATCACCTCAAAATGACATGTTTTTATTGCATTATCAAGGTGACATTCCTGTAACTTTTAAAAGTGATCAGAGCAAGAAATACACATACACAAAACACAAATATACACAAAGGTCATTGAGACATACAACACAGCCAGCTCTCTTTATAAAATTTATTTAACTATTGTTCAAGCACAGTTTTCTGTTTCTTACTCCTATTCCAGCCCACCCCCGCCAGTGTTCCCCACCTCCCTCCCATTTCTACCCGCCTTAGTTGCTGTCCATGTGTCCTTTATACTAGTTCCTGTAAATCCTTCCCCTTTTTCCCCTGAAATTCCCTCCGCTCTCCCCTCAGGTCACTGTCCCCTTGTTCTCTATTTCAGTGGTTTCATTTTGATTTTGTTTGCTTATTTGTTTTGTTATTTAGCTTTCTGTTAAAGGTGAGATCATTTGTCTTTCACCTCCTGGCTTATTTCACTCAGCATAATACTTTCCAGTTCCATCCATGCTGTTGCAAAGGGTAGGAGCTCCTTCTTTCTTTCTGCTGCATAGAATTCCATTGTGTATATGTACCATAATTTTTTGATCCATTCATTTACTGACGGGCACCTAGGTTGCTTCCAGCTCTTGGCTATTGTAAATTGTGCTGCTATGAACATTGGGGTGCATAGGTTCTTTTGGATTGGTGTTTTAGGGTTCTTAGGATATAATCCCAGCAGTGGAATTGTGGGATCAAAAGACAGCCAGCTCTTAACTGCAATAAACATGTCCTCTGGTATGTACATTATCCATCAGCATTGGGCACTTCCTGTCATGAAAGCTCTCATTTCATCCTGCATTTGTAGCTTCTATGTTTCAAGCAAAGTCCTCTAGAATTTTGATAATCCTTTCTATCTGAAAGCAGAATGAGTAAAAACCACCACACTGATAATTTAAATGACTTCCAAATTAAATTACCTGAAATCGGTTTTCAAGTCATCAGTTTTTCACCAATATGGTAAATATCCAACTGAAGAATGATTGGATATTCAGAAAGTTACAGTAGGTGTATAGTTAATGGAGACAATTTAAATTGTTACCAAATGTATTTATGGAGTACTGTGTGTTAAAGGTCAACAGTTTGATGTTTGCCTTTGCATCCTGAAAAACCAGAGAATAAAGAATTGACTATGGTTTACTGAGCAGAGCCCAAGATACAGACACTTCAGCTGGTAGCTGTCTGGGTTCTGACTGTGAGAGCTGTGATCAAGTGAGGGGAATGCATTCCTACAGTTTTGAGAAAATACCCTTCAAGATTGTTCAGTTCCATTTTCTCTGATGCTGGCTTCCTTGAATCATATTGTTCTTTTGATACATTTCTCAGATTTTTATATCCTCACCTGAGAACATGCTTATTGATTTTAGAGAGAGGGGAAACTAGGGGGAGAGAGAGGAAGAGAGGAAGAGAAACATTGATAGGTTGCCTCTCACCTGCACCCCGACTTGGGAATTCACCTCCAATCTCTATATGTGTTTTAAGTGAGAACTCAATCCATTAACTTTTGGTTCATGGGATGATGCTCCAGCCAAATGAGCCACCTGGACAAGGCCTCTCAGATTTTTGAAAAGAGAACTGGGGCATTTAATTGGAAGACCAGAAACCATAAAAATCCTAGAAGAAAAGAGGCGGTAAAATCTTGGATATTTCTTCTGGAAGTATTTTTGCTGGTATATCTCTTCAGGCAAGGGAAATTAAAGAAAGACTAAACAAATGGAACTCTATTAAACTGAAAAGTGTTTGCACGGCAAGAGAAACCATCGACAAAACAAAAAGACCACCCACTGATTGGGAGATGACATTCACCAAAGACATATCTGATGAGGTGTTAACAGTGTCAAAAATCTATAAAGAACTCAGACAGCTCAACACCAATAAACAAGCACTCCAATTAAAAAATGGGCAAAGGACTTGAGTATACACTTCTCCAAAGAGGACCAACAGATAGCCAATAGACATAAGAAAAGATGCTCAATGTCACTAACTGTTAGAGAGATGCAAATGAAAACCACAGGGTCAATCACCTCACACCTGTCAGAATGACTATCATAAATAAATTAACAAACAAGTGCTGGCCAGGACATGGAGAAAAGGGAACCCTCCTGCAGTGTGGGCGGGAATGTAGACTGGGAATGCAGCCACTCTGGAAAACAGTACGGAGTTTCCTCAAAAAATTAAACGTGTAACTGCCTTATGACCTAGCCAATTCACTTCTGGGAATATATCCAAAGAAGCCTACAACACTAATTTGAAAGACTATAGGGTCAGGCACAAATGGTATTATAACATTTTTATTACAAAACCTCTCACCACAAAATCATAAGCATGTAATTCTGTAACATTACAATATCATGTTCAAGCACACCACGTGACATTTTAAGTGAGATGCTCAAATTACAAGTACAGATTATTATACCTGCCAGGACCTGTACATGACCCCAATGTTTATCACCATGTTTACAATAGTGAAAAACTGGAAGCAGTCCAAGTGTCCATCAGTAGATGAGGAGATAAAAAAGCTGTGGTACATTTACACCATGGAATACTTCACAGCAACAAAAAAAGAAGATCTTTCCCTTCATGGTAGCGTGAATGGACCTGGAGAGCATTATGCAAATTTAAGTAAGTCAGTCAGATAAAGACAAGTACCACAGGATCTCATTTACATGTGGAATTTAATGAACACAATCAACTAGCAAACAAAAGAGAAACAGATTCATAGACACAGACAACAGACTGACAGCTGTCAGAAGGAGGGGGTGGTGGCCTGGGTAAGAAAGGTGAAGGGTTAACTTCCCCAGCATCCTCTCCCACCACATCCCTTTCCTCCCTTGCCCACTCAGCTCTCACAGTTGTCTCATGCTGCTTGCTGCTACTGCAGTCATCTTCAGCTGAGTGGTTCAGACACTACAAGAATATTGGCAGAAAAATTGCAAGAACTTAACAGGGGACTTAATCTTACTCTGTTAAAAATGATCATAACCCAAGAATAAATGTAAAGTTTGGGAAATGCTGAAAATGTTTACCTCTAGAACCATTTAAACATTTACTAATACATGTTCTTCATTTGAACTTTAAGATATTTTAGGATTTTTTACATAGTTTCTTGTTGCAATACACCTTTTGCAAACTTTTTCCCTTTGCTACTAAATCATTTCACCAAGGAATTTAGAGTTTCTTTAACCTTTCATTGCATTCACCACACAACTGGTGAGGCACATTCATATAACTCTGCAGTATTTTCTGTATTAAAATTTCAGTCCACTTCGGAAGGAATTCCATGGGCATTACTTTTACTGGGCTGTTTCCAACTACCACAAGGTGGTATGAAGTCAAATATCTAAGTACATAAGCCAGAGAAGTATGTTGATATAATTTTCTCACATTTAATTTCTGTCTGTGTAATATTCCTGGCTTGAGAAAAATGAGAATCACTATTTTTTAAAAGAAAGATTAAAATTCTAATAATTCAGTTGTCCCATTTTAACTTTAAAAGCTAAGCTCTTCCATGGAAGTTTACCCTGTTTTCAGACCTAGAACTTGAATAATTACTGCTTGTATATGAAACTGCTAATTGGGAGAATGTTCTGAGTTTTCACTTCACCTGGACCTCACCTGTAGCGCCCTACAAAAGGCGTCCTTCACCTGAGCATTCCTCAGGCTGTAGATGAGGGGATTCAGCAGTGGGTTAAAGAGACTGTGAAACAGGGACAGAATTTTCTCCTTCTCCTCTCGTTGACTGGAGTCAGGGACCATATAAACCACCATGGCTATGCCAAAGAAGAACCCGACCACACAGAGGTGGGAGGAGCAGGTGGAGAAGGCCTTCTTGCGGCCCTCCCCAGACTGGATCCTCAGGATGGCCCAGAGGATGTGTATATAGGAGACCAGCACCAAGCAGAGGGGCCCGACTAAGACAAAAACACAATCAGCGAAGATGACCACTTTGTTGAGCCAGGTGTCAGCACAGGCCAGTTTGAGGACAGACAACAGCTCACAGAAGAAGTGGTTGACTTCCTGAGGCCCACAGAATGGCAGCCTTAGAAGGAGAAGCACATTTATCAGAGGCAGGATGAATCCGCACAACCAGGACATGGTGGTGAGGACCGTGGTCACACTCCAGCTCATGATGACTGTGTACTGGAGAGGGTGGCAGATGGCCACATACCGATCGTAGGACATTGCCACTAAAATCAGACACTCTGCGTGACCAAATGCTAGACACAAAAATGTCTGCATGATGCATGGGACAAAGGTGATGGCTTTATCATGGGTCACTAAGTTTGCTAGCATCTTGGGGACATTGGTGGATGCATAAAACACGTCAATGATGGCCAGGTGGGAGAGGAAGAAGTACATCGGGGTTTGTAATCTCGGGTCCAGACAGATGAGTGCAAAGATCATGCCATTTGCCAACAAACTGAAGGTGTAGAATAGAGAGAAGACCCAGAAGAGGAGAACTTCTGTCTCTGCACTGAGCTGGAATCCCAGTAGCACAAACTCTGTGACCCATGACTGGTTCCCTTTCATTCCTCACAGGTACCTGGTCAAGAACTGAATTGTGATAAAGTTCAGGGCTAGAGAATTAATACAAAGTGGAGTTAATCTCAACGTGAACTCAGAGAAAGGTTGTATCCTTGTCACTCCTTGAAAGCTTCCCCTTCTCCCCCAAACTGGTTACCTGTTTGTAACTTTCCTATGAAATAAATTTAAACTTATAGAAAACAGTCAAGAATTATGCAAAGAACTCCAGTATAACCATATGCCCAGATTTAACAAATTTTAATATTTATTTCATATTTGCCTTATAATTCTTTTTCTCAGTATTATTATGTATGAGTATTAGTTTTTCTGAAGCACTTGAAATTAAAGTATAGATAGACATGATACCCATTTACACTTAAATTTCTTTTTTTCCACCAAAAGCAAAGACATTCAGTAATCTAAACACAATTATCAAAATTAGGCAATTTGATATTGACCTGATCCTTTAATCTATAATATTCTCTCTCTACTCCCCTCACCCAGGATCCAATCCAAAATGACATGTGAGAATTAATGCCATTCATCTTTAGTCTTCTTGCACCTGAAATAGTTACCATGTCTGCCTTTGCCATTTCTGACCACTGACTGAATCTTGGAAGATTATAGAAAAGTTCTTCACTACAGTGTTCTCCAAATGGAACTGCATGCAACTCCTCATTTATTATTCAGATTCTTCACTTCCTGCAGGGAAATTAAGCATCTTCCATTGTGCTTCATGGGCAGGTGCATGAGGTTCACTGTTCCATCACTGGTGACTCTCACTTGGATCACCTGGTGAACATGGTGCCTCCCAAGTATCTCCATTATAGAATCATTATCTTTTTCCCTCATGCAATTTCTGGATTAGCCATTAAACTTACTATATAATATTCTGTTCCTCATAGAGCTTCTCAGGCACTAATTTCAGTGCCTGTTGATTATCTTGCCTGACTCAATTACTAGTAATGATTATGGTGAAACGTGGTGTTCTTACTTCTCAGTGCTGGTATATTTATTGGTTGACAACTTCCTCATGAGGAAAGCCTCCATCATCTACCTACCTATCTATCAATCATCTATATATCTTTATACATCTGTATCTGTCATCTTTCTATCAGCATGAATTTTGTAATCAAGGGATTATAATTATTTCTTTTTATTTATTCATTCTTAATTATTCTAGACCTAAACCCACCAAGCCTGTCCTTTTGTATTTTAACACATCTCCAAGTTTTTGAGCATTTCCTTACTTCTGATGGCTGTTTCACACTTTTCTCATACACTCCTCACTTCATCCATGGGCACACATACTTCTCAAAAAAAGTCTAATTACTTTAGGGAAGAGTCATATTCATAAACCAGTATCTTGATGTCAATAACTTACACTTTTATCATGATTTCTGCCACGTTTCTGATGTCTTCTTTTAAAACAGCAGGCATAATATTCGACAAGGAATACAAACTGTTCCTGGGATAACACATTCTCATGTTTGTGAACATTAAAAACAGCTTAACTGACTTCCCTTTTATGGAGTCAAAACTATTTCCCTAAATTAACATTAGCATTGAAGAAAGCAGTCTTGATATTATTTAATAGCTTACTTTTAGGCAAAATATATATTTGTAACTCATACTTTATTAATTACCAAGTTTATATAATTTTTTTATTTCTACTTAGGAAATCACAGAATCAGACATTTTAAACAATGAAGTTGAAGAATATGGGTCATTGTGTGTCTACAGTGGTTCTTACCTTGTATGAGAGCATCTGACATCAAGTTTCAAAACTTTCTTAGAAAAACATGATCAAACTCTATTTAAGACTAAAGAGGTAATACCCTGAAAAACAAAATGTAAAATAAATATTGTTTTTTAATGTAAGAATTTTTTTAAATTTTTACTTTTTAATATTCTATTTATTTTTAGAGAGGGGAAAGAAGGAAGAAAGTGAAGGAGAGAAACATCAATGTGTGGTTGCCTCTCACATACCCCTTACTAGGGACTTGACCTGCAACCCAGGCATGTGCCATAGACTGAGAAACCAACTGGCAACCTTTTGGTTCCCAGGATGACTATCAATTCACTAAGCCACACTATCTAGGACAAATAAACATTGTTAATAGTGTGTATATGCAGTAATACCACTTTACTGTACACTTTCATAGGTATCACAAATTTAAATATATATATCACATTGTTGCTAGCTTACTTGCCAGTATTTCTTTCATTTAGGAACATATCAGAAACTATTTCTCACATCAAAATATTTTTATGCAACATGCTGTGAACAGCTGCACACTATTTCCTTGAGTATAAGTATTTTATTATCTCATTAGGTTTGTGCCATAGAATGCTTCAGTGAGTAAATTTTAAACTCATGAATCCTTCCAGTAAATTCTGAGATTTGACAGTGCTCAATGAAATCAGTCACACAATTTATGTATCTGGGTTCACGTATTGCTCTATCTCTAATCATCTAAAGAACAAACAACAAAATCTCCGCGGCGGGGAGACTCAGCTCTGTCAGAAACAGCCCAGTGGGAAGAGTGTCTAACTTCACAGTCCTGACTCCCTTATTCCTGAATTCACCTCCATCATGCAGTTGTCCCACTTGGCTGGCTGCTCTTACCACCATTCCCACCAAGGGGCGCTGATTCTCCCCTCACACTCAGGTGAAAGGCTGCTGCTGGTCTTCACCTTCCTTCATTCTTCAGTTCACTCTTCTCTCAGATGGATGTTAAATGCTCCACAGAGCTTAGAACAGCCTGACTTATAATGTGTGCAGTTATTTGGTCACCAGGCTGAAAATCCCCCTTATTCTTATTTGACCTGCCACCTGAGCTATATACTCTCTTATTTGAAGGAACTGACACATTCTCTGTGGCATTATTTCATGTCCTACCTCCTCCACCCCAGGTTCCACATGGTCCATGTGAAAGAAATGACCCCAACACCAGCATTTAGATTTCCTCTTAAACGTCTTTACATCTACGTTATGAACAACAAGAGACACGGATTTCTCGTTAGTGTCTCGTCTAGTGTTTTCTTCTCAATTCCAGTTTCTGACTTCACAGTAACCCCTGTTTTCTAGGTGAATGGCACCTGTTATTGTTCCATGACTCTTCCCTATATATGAACAAAAGGAGAAGGCTCCACCCTATGCAGCAATTACAAGTTAAACAATTACTTAACACAATGAACATCACTTAACCCCTCTGCACCACACAGGCCTTACAGGAAGGCTTCAGGGGAGTGGACAGTGTGTTCTCAAGTAATTATGAATTTCATCTCTTAAGACCATGGATATAATTTTATTCACACATTTTGTAAGGCTTATGAGTGTGCATGAATTCGGTAATTTAAAAACTGCTGAGAATTACTATCTTTCCCTGGAGCAGGGTGGGGAGGGCAGTCAGTCCTCAGTAACAGCATTCGGGTCTGGTGTGCACTCAGATGGGTATGCAAATGAGTCAAACACACCCAGGTGCTGACACACTGGGCCAACAACTCCTCATTGTTTTACCCCAATGGGTGTTGCAGGGCACCACACCTTCCTCATATGAACCATGACATTGGGGAGGTGCAGCCAGTTACAACAGAGAGAAAGGTGGTTGCCTGCTTGATCATCTCTGGGCTCCAATGAAGGGCTGGCTGTCAGACAGCCTGAAAAGAGGATTTTTCTACCCTTGCAAGTTAGGCTAGGCTCTTGTGGGGGCTTTTCAGAAACAATATAAATATACAGGCTTGTCCAATAACAACAGTTACAACAGTTATATTCTCACTATAAGGGTATGGGTAAACTTCAGGACATATCATGATGAAAGGAGATTCAGATCAAATGTCACTTATTTAAGCTGAGATTCCCTCTCACCAAATAATGAACTTTTTATCTTTATATGTCTTACACATCTTTATGCTCATAACAATTAGTATAGTTCTAGATAAAACAGGCACTCAGGAAATGTTTGTTAAATAGAGGATTGTCATTTTTAGTTTAAAAAGTGTGTATGTTAAGCATCTTCTGTTTGCCAGGGTCTATTGATGAAGATACGGTTTCTATTTTATTACAAAAGTACAGTGAGAATTTGATCCCTGAAAGAAACAGACAAAATCCTAGATTTTCACTTTCATAAATATGAGTATATTTGGGAAGATTCTTTGTAAATGTGCATTAAGTTTGTGACATTAATTTTTCCTACAATTAAAAAATTCTGCTATGTTATATAAAGTGAGAGAAGCCACATCAGTATGAAGCCACAGCAGCAGAAGCCAAATTCTACTCAAACACAGTTGGACACAGTAAATAATGTTAGAAACATATTTAATCTCTGAACATGAAGAATAACGATTTTCTTAAATGTAACTCAATACATTATTAGTCAGTAGGAACATTTGTTTACTAACTTTTTAGTTTTGTGTCTTCATAAATGAATTATTTTATTTTAGATGTACTTATTTTATTTTCTTTTTCATTACCACAGTTATCATTTTGCTATTAAAAAGCAAGCAAAATGAAAATAAAATAGAAGACAGATTAAATCTCTTAAGCAGACACACTGGAAGAGGGAAGAACATGTCACGGTGAGAATAAAACACTAGTGACACACATACAAAGGTTCGCGAGGTCGGCACAAGCAGCTCTTCACCTGGGTGGTCCTGTGACTCTGAGTTTCTTCAGCTCTGGAGCTGTGTCCCACTTCCCCAGCTCTGGCCAGGAGTCTTGCACTCATTCTGCCCTTTGGATGATAGGAGAGATATTTACATCACTTACTGTGATTTCCAATCTGACAGTCATCACCATGAGCTGATCACCTGGGATGGTCAGGAAAGGAGTAACTGTATGGTATACTTACATTTTAAATGGTTTCAGCAAAGAAATGACTTACTGTCACGCTTCCTGGAAGACTCTCTCCCATGTAGAGAACTTGCTCTGGACGTCACTCTTGTCATTCAGAATAGGTAACACAGACCACCTGTAACATGGCTCCTCAGAGCCTTACTCAGTG